GCAAGAAACACAGAATATTTTTTGTTTTTTGCACAAAATCTGATTAATTTTGAACGTTTTTTGGGGGTAAAAAATTCTAAATAAGATGTAGAATAATGTGATGTTGATTAAATGTTATTATATCACCATGTGTCGCTGATAAGTGGCGCAACTATTGTTGGAAAGTGGAAAATCTTTCTGTGTTCCTGACTTCAGCTAAGTGTGTACTTTTAGTGATTTTTAAAAAGACAACAAACCCGCCAGTGGCGTATTGAGGCTCAGAGAGTTAAACAACAGTAACTGTGCCTTCATTTGGCCTCAACTGCATATATCTGCTTTGGGGCCGTGTTAAGTAAAGTTGATCTATTTGTGGTGTTGGTGGTGTTTTGGGGATTCCTCCATGTCTGATGTCATGATCTAAACGATCGTCTGTGTGAGTGAAGATTCAGTATCTCTGTGTATTTGCATGAGTTTCCACATGGGGACCCCAAAACCTTAACCTGGAGCGTCACTGATGAACACCTTGCAAACACTAACCCACCCTCTCCTCTGTGTTCCTGTGTGTCTAGTCGGAGACCCCCGCCTTCTCCAACCCACTAGACCTCTGAGCTCCTCCCTCCCTCCTCCACATGTTTCCTCCCCTCCTCTGGATGAGGGGCCACAGACAACAGCGCCACCTTCCTGCCGTTCTCTGCCTCATCCGACCTGCACCGGCCTCCTACTCCTGCCTCTCCCTTCGCGACGAGCCATGTCTCCTCTTTTCTTTCCCCCCCTCAGCGCTCTGTTTTCACGCAGAGGATACTTGAAACACACTTGCATGACTTACGAACACGTTGCACCCTCGGAATTTAAACCAACTATCTAGAGACTGTGAAATAAATCACAAGAAGTGTAAATGCACACACACACACACACACTCCTGCTTTCATAAACACACACATATATATCGTATATATATACAAGCAAACATACAGAATATTTTTCCTGCTTTTAAACTGAAGGGGTACACGGTTTGAGCATGACGATATGCCTGAGTATTTCTAATGGGTATTCTGACTTGTTTCCCTTTTATTCGCTCTTATCTCATGTTTCTTTTCTTTGGGTTTATTTTTCCTCTAGAAAGAAATACTTCACCAGAACATTTTCTGTCACAGAATCACACCACCATGCTGGAAGAGAAAATACACACTGTATTAGTTATTTTTGAAGAAAATGACACTAAAAACTAAACCGAAACCGATTTTGTTTTTGCAACACATCCATCAATCTTGGCCTACACTGCGTAGGTATTATACTAGTGGCTTGATGCATGTTTTGAAATAACTTCACTGCATCTCTGCTCTCGATGAAGTCAGTACTCTGGTTTCCCTCCTTCGCAGCATTTCAGGAGTTAAAAGCAGCCGGTGAAGTATTCCTTTAAGCGAGGTGATGCGAGCTGCACAGGGATTTTTGCGTCTCAGAAACTCTTTTCATATCTTACTTGTCAGGTTTTGATCTGTAATCGTGGTCCCGACTCCCCTAAAATCACAGGCGAGGACACACTTGACTTAAAACATCCAAAGAGAAAAAGATCAGCGCCATTGGTGCTTTTCATTAAAACCAGCAGTTAGGAGCTGGAGGTGGTGATTTCCTCGGTGTCTCCTCGCCTTCATGATTTCGGGATGTTTCCCTCCTGCCCAACATGATCTCGTCTCTCTTCTCTTTTTTGCCTGAACCAGCCGGCCAAACAAAGGCGGGCCGTCTCGGCCCGAGAGCCCCCTGCCGCCGTTCGACTCTTAGAAGAAACCCCTCCCATCCGTTCTCCCCTTTTTACCTCCTCTCTTCTAAAACTAGACTTCCCATCAGCTATGAAACACTATCTCTCACTCACGCGAAGGGCTTGAATGAAATGAGGGAGGAACGGATCGTCTACAGACATCTTTAAAAGGCTGCTGCTGCTCTTCATCCTTCCTTTCCCCTCCTCCTCCTCCTCCTCCTCTTTGCTGTTGCAGTAGGACAGGAGGAAAAAAAATCATCTGAGGGATCTTCTGGATGTTTTTTTTTTTTGCCTGTCATAGCCTCCAGAAGGCCTCGCTGTCGCTGCTGATTACACATGTGCTAAAACTCTCCCGTGTAGTGGATGAAGACACAACTGTGTCACAACCACCCGCTGTTGTCTGCGCTTCCACAGAATCTATGCAAGAAAACGGTTTCTCAGTCTTTCCTGACATGAAACGGATGCCTCCCGTGGCGCTTTCCCCCCTCGTTCTTCTCATTTTCACAGAAACATCGCATTATCTAACGGAGGCTGGATGTAACTAGAATGTGCAATATATAAATACACATATAGGATGTCCTATATATATACATTACAAAACTGACATAAATCATCTCTAAACCTGAGAGGAAGGGAATTCGTAGCCTGGGTTGCACCCCGAGACTGTTAGAAAGCAGCTTGTCCATGCTTTTCATTCACAGAGAGCGAGCTCCCTGATGGGAAACGTGATTCTCAGTCAGCTTCGATCACATTTGTGACAGGAAAACTTTCCAGGTTGATGATTTTTCCCATTTCTTTTTCTGTTTTTTTCCCCCTCCTCCCCTTCTTCTCCTCTTTTGTTCTTGTCTCCCTTCTCTCAGTGGTCACGGGGGTGAGTGAGAACATGAAAACAGCCACAGTCTATGCATTAAACTAGCTCCCCGTGTGTCGCCCTCACATCGCCGTGTCTTCATCTCCCTCCCTTTTTTTCTACCGCCAACTGTCAGCGTGACGTGTCGTGTTTTGACCCTGAATAACCAACCCACCAGCCACGAGTTTAAAAAAAAAAACAAAAAAAACCCACCTCCGTACCCCCACATGATGTCATTTAAATCACCTTTTTTGAAACACTGACCCCTTTGTGCATCACGGTACTGCGAAGCAAGCATATTCTACTTCTTATTTAACGGTAAATAGTTTATTCTGGACATATCTTAATGTGTTATTATGTATATGTGTGGTGCATCTTATTGGACTTGTACTTCCACTGTCTAGAGACGTTAGTCTGCAATGTATGAAACTGCTGAATATTTAAATTATTATGAACAAATGAGTATAAGGACATAATGTTTGAAAACCTTAAAAAAAAAAAGATAATACAGTGACGTATATGGACGTTGGCAGGTTGTTTGATACTTTTTGCTTGTAGCCGAGAGGGTGTTTTTGTTGTTGTTTTTGTTTGTTTTTCTTGCCCCCCCCCCTCTGCGTGCGGGATAGCAGGGAGGGACGGTGTGAATGTGTGAACGCCTGCAGAAACCAGGTCCTGCATCTCGTTCAGACTGATGTGGATGAAACTCTAAACCTGCAGGACTGCTGTGCTCTGTCAACACATTAAAAACCTCAGTGTAATAACCCGAGTTTCTTCTTTTTCTTTTTTTCCTGTGGTGAACATCAGCATCACATATAAACAGGGTCTGATGAAGATAGTGGAAGTGAATTTTAAAGGAGCTTTCAGCAAAACAAGACAGAAAAAGAGCAAATACAGACATTATAAGTGATGCAATATGAGCTGTTGATGCACTGATAAGATTAGATGTTAAAGAAGTCATATATTTAGAAATACGCAGCACAGAAACATAATGTACACTTCATGTAGATGCAGGACTTGCAAAATGTGTACAAACGTCTACATTTTTCCACAATTGCTTCAGTTTCTTTGGGTGTTTGGGCAAAAACACAAGGCTTACTGGAGAACACAGCAAAAGCGCAGCTATAAACATTAAATAAATGTCTTCATTCCATTTAGCTGCTTCACTTTCAGGATGCTGGTGCATGTGGGCTCAACACAATCACTGTTAATGTTGTCAGTCACATTTTCCTACTCTGACAAGGACTAATGTCTGCGATATCTCCCAGCAGGACAGGTTCAGAGCAAAAAGAATTAAATCCAGACACACCATTTAAGTTGCTCAATCAGTTTTATTCAGGAGAACGGGAGAAAATATTATTCAAAAAAAAAAGAAAAAAAAATCAGAAAAGCTTCTGTCAGAAGCAGCACTCCAACAAATCAGTTCTCTGGATGATCCTTCATTTCCAGCCTACAGTCACTTCTAGTTTACATTAAAACTGATTAGTCGAGATACTAACTTAATCCAAATAAATAGAATATTTTCTCTCTCTCTTGTTTTTTTTTTTTTTTAAGTCAATCTTTGTATTAAATCACAGCCAGTCAGTAACTGCTGACGCCCCGACTCTGCTCTAACGGACAGACACACGATCGGCGCAGCTTCTCCCCCACACACCAGGCATAAAGAATATACAGTATGTTACACAGTTACAGTATGTACACCACCTCTTTTACAGAAAAGACAAAGAAATGCTTTCTCATTGCCGTTCGTTTCGATCACGCCTAACATATTTAACAGTGAATTAGAAAGCGTGGGAAGTCATTTTATCCACATGGTTTTATCTGTTATCTTACAAGCGACACAAGAAACAAAAAAAAAAAAGGGGTTTTCATGTATATTCTTGGTCTGACCACTCCCAACAGCAAAAAGGAAAATAAAAAAAAAATCTGTGGCATCTTCAAAGGAAACCAAAACGTGACAGAATGCTAAGAAGCGAGGAATTTTAAAATTGAGAGAGAAAGAAAGAAAAAAAACAAACCACCTGTTTCTACCAAAGTGCTGTGGTTTAAGGTCGGCGCCGTTTACCTTCCTCGTAAACAACACCCAGTACGTATGGCAACCACGTACGTTACACTTTAATTACATTTCGCTTCGTGTAATACGCTTAAAATGCCGAGCTTTGCACGACTGCTTTCAGTCCCGTTTGCCTTTAGTGATAAATATCAAGTGTGCGATTTAATAATTTATTACATGTGTCCTCTACGTCAAAAATAACAGAAAGAATCTCAAAAAAAAAAACTCAGAGACTTCCAAATAAAAAGGTAGAAATACCTGCAAACATAGTCTGGACTTTTTTTTTTTGTATTGGTTTGTTTTTTTTATTTTATTTTATAGTGAGACTCTCATATGGTTGCATATTAAAATCATGGAAAGACTCACAAAACAAGAAGATTTAATCAGAAGTTGAACCAAAAAAAACCCAAGATGCTGTGAAGTCTCTGGTATTAGTCATAAAGGGAAATAATTCTACACTGAAAAAAAAAATTTAATCAACCCCCTAATCAAACATCTCTCTTAAAGCTGGACATCTGATCTCACTCCCTTAAATCTTAGTTTTAATGCCCCAAAAGAGATTTCCTCGAGCCAATGCGACGACTACAGAATACCAACACGACAAATGTGATTTGTTTATCTGAAGAGAGTTTTTCCCAAAGTCTGATTGGTCCCTCACCTTTGGAAACAATTTCTTGAAGCGAGCATTAATTTCTATCCATATTTACACCCCACAATCCAGTGCACCAACATGCACCAATTAAACTCAGTGGAATCCTCAGCTTAAGCGTCGAGGCTTCATAGGATCCCGCCCGCCCCATCGCTCCCCTCTCCGAAAAAAAAAAAGAGCCTCTATGGTAGAAACATCGCTGTCCAAGCAGCCGGAGAGCTAAAACGAGAAGCTTTGTACAGTTTTAGTGCAATCATACTTATATAATCTGATAGAACTCTACATAAAGTACAACAGATGCAATTTTGGCTGAAGAAGAAACTGTTTGGATTCATTCACACACGCACACACACAGTCCAGTTGTTATCGATGTGCATTGATTCATCTTTGATATGTAGAACTACGAGTAAATGTAACAGAAAAGAACTGGCTCTCATTGATAGTGTCGATTTGTAGAGAAACTTAAAAGACCCCACACAACAAAAGTTGAACAAACATCGAGTCCAAACTACCTGTAACTTCTCCGACACCTGTACCTTTACCTGTAGAAACAATACTATGGAAAGCAGCCCAAGCGTTGTTGTTAATCTGAAGTCTGGAGAAGATGCCCGTAATGCCTTCATAGCTTCGACTTAAAGTGTTTTTTTTCTTAAAACTTCACAGGGTCTTTAAATTGCATCTATACCCTAAAAGTTACTCTGAACCACCCGTTCACAGCGGCGGTGACTTCTCTCGAGCTGTTCGACGACATCGTGACACAAAAATGATCAACAAACATACTTTCAGTGTTTGGAGGAGAAATCTTTTGAGGAACAGTACCAATCGGCAACATCTGCCTCCGTCTTCCTGAACTTTAATTGTGTAACTCGGCCAGCTCTTGACTTCAAAACACAAGAGCACCTACAGTTTAAAAGCTATTATGTGCACAAAGCTCCTTGACTGACTTGACTTTAACCTTTTGTCTCACTCTTCATTCTGCTCCTCGCTTTCTCTTCACATTACACACATACAGGTAAATATTCGGGTTATTACATTCAAAAGAAAAACCAAAAAACGTGATGCTCTTTTTGGCATGTGTACAGTGGCTCAAAACTGAGATTTGCACTTTTGAATAAAGTCGCACACAAACAAGCTGCTAACTTCTGACAGCTAGGTACTGTATCAGCGAGGGGACACAATATACGACCCCTTTATTGCACATATGTGTGAGATGGGTGCTCAAAAATTGCGGCGAGGAGGATAATCGAATTGCATCGAGGAACACTGATTATCTCCTCTCGGGGAAGAGCATCGTAGACAAACAGAAACAAAAAAACAGAAAAACGACAAATAGAAAACTCCTCTTTCAGTTGAACCGTGCACACAGTAGTGCCAGCACACGGAACAAAGAGGGGGGAGGGGGCGTTTCATCGCAAAGACGTTGTCAAGGAGTCGAATTTGTGTTTGAGAAGACGACCAATAAGCTGTGGAGTTTAATAGTCCCCAGACTTCAAGACGTGTCCAATATCTCTAACATACACCCGCACACACACACATCAAGCCTCTGTCGCACCCAGACCTCACACCACCAGGATCTTGACCTCGTCCTGTTCGTCGGGCCGGTAAAAGAAGGGGATGCAGGGGTTCTCCCCGAGGAAGGGGGGTGATCTTAAAGCTCCCTGGGGGTTCTGGATCTCGTGGAGCAGCTGCATGATCTGCTGGGCCGTGCCGTCCTCTGTGGGCGCCAGCGGTTTGGAGTCAGTCTGAACGGGCCCGGTCGATAGCGCCTGGGAGGGAGCGGCTTCCAGACCCGGGGCGGGCTCTGACAGAGGGATGACCTCCATGGCTTCTGCAGCGGAGAGAACAAGTCGGAACAGAGTGGTGAGGTTATTAAATATAAAAAAAGATGTTTAAATATAGATACGGTAGCATTTCTGTATCTTACTACAAAGAATAGTGGAGACAGAACTTATTGGACTGATGATTTTAATCTAAATTAGAGACTGAGATTTAAAAAAAGAAAGACACAACCTGATTAGAAAGTTAACAAACAAAACATTATGTCACACTCACTCTAGCATCCAGCCTTGTCCCCAACACTGTCCCTATTTACTATTTTCCTGCAAACCTTGCAATAGCATCATGCTTTCTGTCACACTTTAAATGGATTCGCACAACATCCATCCATCATCTATATACCGCTTAGTCCTCACTAGGGTCATGGGGGGCTGGAGTCTATCCCAGCTGACTTAGGGTGAAGGCAGGGGACACCCTGGACAGGTCACCAGTCTATCACAGGGCCACACTTAGAGACAGACAACCAAGCACACTCACATTCACACCTACGGACAATTTAGAATCACCAATTAACCTCAACATGTTTTCGGACTGTGTGGAAGGAAGCCGGAGAACCCACGCTGCATGGGGAGAACATGCAAACTCCACGCAGAAAGATCCCGGGTGCCCTCACTGGGACGTGAACCGGCGAGCTTCTAGCTGTGAGGCAACAGTGCTAACCACCGAGCCACTTTACCGTTTTTATTCTTGCTTTACGTGCAAGACGAAAGATGCTTTTTGGCTGCTGTGCGTTAAATGACAGTGACAGAGTATCAGTATCCCACTCATGCTCTGTCTGTCCTGCTTGCTTTGTGCCACAACAAACCAGTACATTTCACCCAAACAAATCTGAGTCTGACATTATTCTGATTAATGTTAATGCCACTGCTCTGTGTTCATGCTTTCAATGGAAAAAATGTACAAAAACAACACCTCAACTTGTACATGTAACTGGAAAGAGGACACTTCTGACAATCTTCTAGACCTCAGTCCAGCGCTAAATTATTTTTGCATTGATGCATGATGTAGCACATGCGGCTGTGCTTACCTGCTCCACCGACAGCGTTAAGCTCTGCCTGTGTGTGTGCTTGGTGCTCGGGGTGAGTGTGATCCTCCCCAACAGGAAGCAGGTCAGGGTTTACTGTGCCCATGTTGGCAACAGCTCCAGTGTAGCGGTTGTACCAGTCGTTCCTTTCAGCCACCAGCCTCATCACAAGATCCTGCAGCTCTGCCAGCTTTGCCTGATGGACAGTACAGATACAAGGCGAAGATGTCAGCTGAGAATTTAAAGTGCATCCATCTCATTTTGGAGATTTAAAATAAAACTGAGAACATTTTTCCTTGATTTTTCTTTGCCAGTGCAGTCGTTAATCTTGAAAACTATCTGGACACCATCATATTAAGTCCTGTCCTGTCCTATTGGAATTTAATGACTGTTATTAAAACCACACAGAGTGAAGATCAAGAGCAAGCTGAATGTCTTGATCACAACAAAACCAGATCCGATGTAGGTTCAACATAAGAATTTCAAGATGTTGAGAAATACAGTAAATCCATCTTAACAAGTTGCTACACTCTGATTGTTATGAAAGAAAACTTTAAAACAACATCTAAACTTTTTCCAAGTACACAAAGCAGAACTGTCTATTTATCTATTATATTGTTCAGAGGTTGTTTACTGGACTACTTCATCTCCATTACAAAGTGTTTATACAGTACCTTCATTTCCTCCTTGTCCTGGGCCAGCATGCTGATGTATTGCTCTTTCTCTTGGTGTTTTTGCTTCATGATTGCCCGCTGGCTCTGGTAGAGGGCTATGTACTCCCCTGGAAACACAGACCAAAAACACAAATGAGAATGGCAATAAGGCATTTATGTATGAGTAAAAACTCAGATACTGTTAACATTGAAAACAATAACAAAAGGACATTGTGCTGCTGTTAGTGTCACCTATAGTGTCGGTCTCTCCAGACAACTGGATGCAGCGGTGCTCCAGTTCCTCCACTCTCTCCTTTAGGTCAGCCTTCTCTTGCATGAGGGAGGTGAAACGCTGTTGGAGCTTCTCCATTGCAGCTTGCAGAGCCTGATGAACTTCCACTGGTACTCCTCCTTCAAGACAGCAGAGTACACTGAATGTTTACACAATGCACACCCCATAAACTTCATATTCAGAAAATATTACCAAAGGTCAACACGTACTTAGTCACACACACTAATCATTACTCTTCACAGAAGTGTAGTCTTTTAATTGAATAAATATTTGCAAGCTTACACACAAACACGCCCTTCTGTTTTTCTAACCTGAATGCTCATGACTGTGTTCACAGTGACTGTGATGGTCCTGGCTGTGATCATGGTCATGGTCATGGTCATGGTCATGATGTTCATGATCATGATCATGAACATGAACAGCTTTGTGGATGTTGTGTTGCTGCTCAAGACTGAGAGCCACAGCGGCCTGGTGCCGGGCTGCCATGTGGAGCCTGTGCTCCTCTTCCAGTTGCCTTCTGACCTCGTCCCTCTCAGCTTCTACCTGAGCCAAAGCTCCACGGATAAATTCCTCCTGTGGGAAGACATGATGAGGCGATGAGGATGATGACAGGGAGCAACAGGACATGGTCAAAAAAGGCTAAGGACAAACTTTGGTTTAAGTGGTAAAGTAGTCTGCATCAAAAAAATAATTTCACACTGGCACTGCACTGGACATGCAAGTGTCAACTTTAAACTGGATTTACATCTTCAAGATGTGTAATGAAAGTCAAAGGAAAGAAAAGCACACAAACAATACGTATTTACATTTGTAGGTTTGGAGGTACAACATTCATCACCCGGCTTACCATTTCTTTCTGGCTCTCAAAGTCCTCTGGGATAACTATGGAGGAGGACTGCTTTGGACTCTCTTCCATTGACTGGCTTTCAACTCCATCTCCTAAAGGACATGACAAAGCCAAACACCTTTAACACTGATTTGCCACAGTTGTGGTACCACTGCAGCAGCTACGACTCTCCTTGTTTACAACAGCATGTCCTAGGAGGTTAGAAACTGCTGCTCTTTGCTTGCCTTCATTTAGTACAGGTTGACACTGCAGAAACTGCAGCTCTGCTTTTTGAAGGTGTCAGTATTTTCACATCAATGACACACAATCTTTGTTTCTTAAGAGAGACTGCAGTTTTTAGTTTCAAAGCCTTTGTTTGATTTCTTTCAAATGAAACAAAGTAAAATAAGAAAGTCATTAAGCTGTTGAACATGTCAGTCATAACCACCACAAACAAAGCTTTCATATTTCAAAAGGAGGAGGGCAGACAGCCAACTTTAGTAGGAAAGGGTTTGAAATGTGACAGTGAATAAACATATCAGTGATGAAGAAAACGTACCCTGGTCTCTGGTTGATGTCACGAGAGCTGAGCTGCTGAGCAACTCCTTCACCTCAGCCTTCAGGTGCTCGTTGTCTTTGACTAACTTTTCTAAGTGCTCCTATAGGAGTAGACGGACATTCAAAACAATGACAGAAAAACAAGTTCATGTCATATATAGTGACTACAGACTCTGTAAACAGCTTGTACGTAGTTTTATATACTGAACGATGCTAACAGACTGATCACCAACAGTCATATGGACAAGGTCTTATTGTGAAATACACACCTGGGCTTGTTTGAGCTGATTGTGACTGATCTCCAGCTGCACGCGGCCGTGACTTTCATCGTGCTGCAGTCGATCCATCAGCTGGCTCTGCTGTAGATACTGTTGGTGGAGCTGTTCCCTCTCTGAGGCCAGGGTCTGGTAGCCAGCGCAGTACTGCTGCAGGTGGGCCACCACCTGATCCCTCTGCTCCACCAGACCCTGAGTCTCATTACACTTCAGCTCCAGCTAGAGGCAAGGAAATGACAAGGGGAATTAACACCAGAAAGAGGCACATACTGTCATCATTGACATCACAATCGCTGTTGTCAAATACAAAATAAATAAACATCTTTCTGGATGCTACTGTCATATATTGTGTTAATATGTGTATGACACAGACACCAAGTATAGATCTAAAAAAAAGATTGCATGACGAAAATGAAGACAGTAAACAACCAAAACCTGCAACAATATGAAAATCCCTCAGCAGACTTGAGTGGAGTCTATGACCTTACCTGCTCTTTCATGTTGTGCAGCTCCTCTTGCAGTTCACCCATTCTGCGAGCCAGTTCTTTTTTCACATGTTGCTCTGATTGGATGGCAGTAGTCAACTCCATGTTCTCATTAGTCTGTCAGAATGAAGGAGCAACAGGAATGTTGGCTTAAAGACAGCAGTCTTACACCCTCAAAGGGAGAACTGAGGCTATGATTGTACTTTACTAAATTGTGAATAGTGAGTATTTTTCAAAGAGCTTTTGATCAAACTAAAAACAAAGACGTGACAAAGATAGAGCAACATAAATTCAGGCACAAAACAAGTAAAACTAATGAAAAGAGGGCAGCAGGATGTAGGAAGAGCTTAGGAATATGATCACTGTGATGAGTTGGAACAGAGACAGCGAAATATATAAATAACAGAAGAAGCACAAGTACATCATTACCAGTATATGTGTCATCTAAAAAGAACAGATGGACGGTAAGATTGTCAGTCTCACCAGTTTGACAAAACCGTTCTGTAGCTCAGCCAGCTGGTCCTTCAGTGTACGGTTCTGGGTGAGAGCGCGGCTAATCGTGGCCTTGTCTGATTGAACATCCTCCAGCATGCGCCGGCGGTCCTCCGCCTCCTGGGTTTGGTTCTCCACCTGCCGCTCCAAATCCCCCAGACGTGTCTCCTGCTCTGCGCACAGGCGGCTCAGCTGCTCATTATCTCGCAGCTGGGGGGAAATATTACAGAGGAGGATTAAAGAGACTTCCAACCTAAGCGGTACAATGGAAGCACTATTGATCTTTGAAACTGTTAGTACAGAGAAAGTAAATTTGTGCTTCTTTTAGAGGTTAAGAACAAAAGACCATTATAATAGTGTATATAGATCACATTAACTTCCTTTATGTAACAAGACGTTGGGGGGAAAACAGTGTTATGCATACCTGCGCCTGGTACTGCGCAGTAATAGCATCTTTCTCCTGCTGTAGGCTGTTGAGGGCCTCCTGCAGAGCCACCTCGCTTTCTGACGGCCCCGACGACTGAGGCTCTGCGCCACTCTGAGCTTCTCTCTCCTGGGACAATAGCGCTAGAGGCGAACAATGACAGTTGTCAATTTTAACCAGTGAGTACACAGAAATACAGTGGACTACAGTAGCTGTGTCACCTGCATGCTGCCATTATTTTGACAGCTACAATATAGATGCTTAAACTTTAAATGCTACGCCAACCTCATATTCCTGTTTAAAAAGGTATGTTTTTGAACTGCTACTGGAATATCTGACAATGAATACAATTTATAGCCGACAAAGGTCCTGCAGTGAAAAGCAAAAGACTGGTTATAAACATTCTGACACTAGTAAAAAAAAAAAAAAAAGTGTCAATGTAGCACTACGTTTAAATTAAGGCTGCACCAGTATGCTCCAGTCTGCTTTTTTTGAGAGATTTGCTGCCCTTGATCTTAGAAGCAATAAATGTGGGTGTATGTTGCTCAAAGAGAATCCTTTCCTTTCTGGTAATAGAATCGCTTATTTGTCAAAAGTGTTGAAAAGCACTGAGCAAAAAGGAAGAAGTAACAGAATAGGGTTGCATACACCTCTCACCTGCAGCATTTTTTAGCTCGGCGATGCTGGCTTCCAGTTCTTGAACTCGGTTAATATTTCTGTCCCTCTCCTCTGCCACTAAAGAAACCTTCACGGACACAGAAATCGACGCGTCAATAAATCACTCAAAATAAAAAACAACAGCTAAGAACTTTTCACTACTTTCAAAGCTGTAGTTAAACATAATCCATGTTGACGACACCATACCTGGGTTAGCAGCTGTTCTGTTTTGTCCTTCCATACGCGGCCCTCCTCCTGGATCTGCTGCGCGTAACAGTCTCTCTCCGTCTTCAGCTGGCCGATAGACTCCATGAGCTACAACAATACAAATGTAAAGGTTAACATTGTGTTAATTAAACAACGCTTTACAGTTATAAGCAGTGAGGAGTTTAGACATCAATTTCTCGGTAGTCTATTGGGTCAGTTTTAACCTTTAAGTATTATATAATTAAATATAGAGGAAAGAAAAAAGGGAGTAAGGGTAGATGACATCTCATGGGTCATGGATAATAAAATGATAAAAGAAAGGTTGCAACGCTTTGGGTAGTTCATCTATCTTGTGCTGCTGTAACTGCTCACAATCGTTCACATTCATATCCACACAGACATGCAAGTAGTACAACACATGCAGGTAACTGTAAGAGAAAGGTCCTTGTGCACCTGGTGATGGTGTGCCTCCAGCTGCTGCTTATCTTCTAGCAGTAACTGGACCTGCTGGTTGGCACTGGTGGGATCTGACTGATTGGAGCACTGGGGAGAAATAAGAAGGGGAAAAAATGTTTGAGTGCAATACAGGCAACACATATTAAAAGTGACATATGAGTACCCAACAAATGTTTAGAGTTTCAGAATAAAACTAATCTGTCTTTTGCACACAGACAGGATTTAGAGTCATTCTACCACTTTCAAATACTAAAAGCAGACAGATGAATTTAAATTGACTCTGTGTTTAACACACCTGTTGTAACATGAGGTCAGCGATCTCCAGCCTCTTGCGAAGATCTTCCACCTCCAGTCTCATTGCGCCGTTGTCCTGTGTACTCAATTTTAACTGCTCGGACAGCTCCGAGCTCTGCTGCTTCGATTCCTCGCTCAAATTGCTGTGAACACATTCACACAGACATTATTTCTTACCTACATGAGCCGCTCAACGAGATGCAACTGAAATACCGTCTCCAGTACCTGAGCAAATCTTAACAAATATTCTGCTGTGAAAATAATACACATCTCCTTTTATGATAGGGTAAAGTTACTTACTTTAGTCTAAACACTTCTAGTCTCAGATTGTCTCTTTCCTTTTCCAGGTCTTTGTTGTGCTGGAAACAAAAATAAAAACATACATTATACACAACATAGACAGTGTGAGAAAAACCTCAGAAAGCTCATTAAAACAAGTAAAAAGCAGAATGCTGGCAAGGGATTTTATGTATTACATGCAGCTGTAAAATAAACAGTTGTGTCCTATATGTTATATTCTACCTGCATTACTCATTTGTCAGTGAAGGCTGAGTATATGGAGTAAACACTGTAGTATCTGTTACCTTGTCAAACTGTTTCTGCTGTGTTGAGACTGAGGACAGAGTTCGCTCCAGCTCTGACACTCTCTGCTTTGTTGCCTGTAGACGGTTATTTAGCTCCTCTGCCTCACCTACACTCACAATCAAATAGAAACACAGACGCACACTGTTAAGCAACTACTGTAAGGCCAAGATCTTGCCAAATTCATCACAAGACACACACACATGCACACACCTGTTTTCTGCCGTGCAGCCTGTTGTGTGTACTGTAGTGCTGTTTGTAGCTCTGATTTCTCTGACACGAGAATACCAATGGTCTGGATATGAACCTTGGGAGCGGACAAATGAACAAAGAGCACGGTTCTTCATGAGACTGGGTAATTCACATTGACTTCACTACAAGCCCTTCAGCAAATCACAACACTGTCTAATACAACTCTTTACAGAGTAATTACACTGAGTGCTTCAGCCTTCCTTTGCAATTTATTCTTGTCAGGGCGAGCGATCAGGACAGGGAGGGTTGGAATGGGGAGGGTGGGTTCTTGTATCACATTTCTATCCATTTTATATGAAGGTGACACCATGCACTCTGACATTATACACCAGCATGTTACACTGCAGTACAATGAGACTTTGTTTTTCATTAGTTTTTCCTGTAATGGCTAAAATGCACCATCAGACAAATTCAGTTTATTTAAACATACCTGTAATTGCTCCCGCATGGCTCCCTGCTCTTTTGAAAATCTCTGTTCAAATTCTTTTCGTTCCTGAATATAGAAGAAAAAAAAAAAAAAGTCATGAACTGAATACCCAGCAGGTCAGGTCAGGAAAAAAAAACAGGAGTGAACAGACAGTCCAGCAGAGAGAGGGAAACGCTGTCTACCTTTTGTAGCTGTTCTGTGAGCTCCTGAGATTGCTGTGCCTGCCAGACAAACAGGTTACAAATTTAAGTTAAAGAAAGATCAAAGCTTTTTTTTCCCCCATCATCCCAGCGGTGTTACACAATTTTAGGCATTTAAAACATAGCTAGAATTCTGGCAAAGACCTCATCTGCATGCCAGACAGGACACTAGTAGGGACAAGTGCTGAAATATTAAACCTGTTCTGTTATTTATGTCATGTTAAACTCTTGTTGGTTTGAAGCTGGTTAGTTTGCTAAACTGGCTCGAAAAGACCTTACAGTTAGGCATCTACCATCAAGCTATGACAGCTCTGGCCAAAACGTGCACCCAAAGGATCCCTTATGCTGTATAGGTTGTAGAAATGTACTCTAGTCAACCTAAGTAAAAGATAAATAAATAACATGAAAACCATGCATGACTTGTTCCTGTTTGTGGTTACTCGAGATGACATGCAGAATGCATTACAACACATGCACTGATGTAATAACTTGTGGAGGGGTAGGAAAGGGTTTACTCCAGTCACACGAAAGGGTGCACACACGAATACACACAGCTTCTTACCAGCTGGTCTAGCTTGGTATTGAGCTGAGAGTTTGTTAGGTTGCTGGATTCCAGGGCGGCTGCCAGCTCCTGGTTCCGACTCTATCACGTGCACACATGCATCCGGGAAAGGCGAAAGAATAAATAAATAAAAAAAAGAAGAGAGGGATAAAGTGCAGTGGCAAAAGTCAAACAAAGAGAACATGAGAGGAGGAGGAGGAGGAGAGAAATTCAAATGTGAATTATTAACATGGACGCAAACAATAGCACCATCATAAGTGGTGTAAAATGTGCTTTCAATAATGACAAGTAAAGCAAATAATTAAAATCCATGATGGCTGTTAAACTGAATAATGGAGCAGTTAAGAAGCAGTGGAACCTTCATAACAATCCATTTGAATATCTTCTGAAAGATGTGCTCAGGATCTACATAACCTCCTCTGTAATATGAAGTCCCTGCCCAGTGCTAAAAGCCTCCGAGTGCCATTTAATGGGACAAACTCAGAGTCATCCTGCAGTGTGGCAATTATGACCACATTACCTTGTGCAAAAGGGCACAACGGACATATTTCAATAACAGTGTGCTTTCCTCTCCTACAGCCTTCACCAAAAAAAAAAAAAACACTTACCACAAATATAAAGGGACCACACATATTAGTATACTGTTGTTATTCCCAGAACCTCCATTTGCTCCTCTCTGTCTAGTAACAAGTATTACTCTGATATTTATTTCTCCTTCAGTGTCTCATCTTCCTTGCTTCCATACAGGCTCACTTGGGAGAGTGCATGTGATGTGATTTGAGGGGGTGGGGGATAATTAAATTACACAAAGCAAGAACGGTCACCCTCACAGTGTGTTTTTTGGGTAAATTACACAGCTAAAGCTGAAAAAAAAAATGAGGCTTAGGATTTTAGACAACCAGCGAGCAAGCAGGTGTCCTCTACCAATAAACATGTAGTGCCCTGGGAAAGCCATTCTGGGCATAGTTGACACTGAATTACTTCTCAATGTATACGGTAGCATCGTGTCTTAAAGTGATCCCTGGTTATACTGTGAATCAAATATGCTTGACATTATTTGGGGGGCATTTTACTGTAGCATTAAGATTCTCCTGCACGACTGAACATATTTCAAAAATTCCTAAAACAAGTCACAGAAAATCTTGGTGAACAGAAAATCTATGGTTTCCATCTTACCTCCAGCTCTCTCTCACTGACAGTAGGTGCGCTGTCTCCATTCACATATGCAGCAGATGACTGGAAGGACACAATGACAACCACATCAATGCACTTTCAGCAAAGGCAATTTCTTAAGTGTTTTAGGTCAAGTTTATATGCACATACAAGGAGCGGCAGTGAATGTTCTATACAATAACAAGGGCGGCTACTGTCTGGAGTCTGACTGTATCTGTAGGCTTTCACTGGTTATAAATGTGCTTGATTGAAAAATGATGTTGCTACAAGCTTAAAGGTAAAACATCGTGGACACATTGCAGATGTATAATTTAATTCGTAAGACTTGCACATCAACACAATGTGCGCCAACAGCACCATAATTACAATCAGAAAATAAACTTTAAAAAAAAGCTGCCAAATGTGCAAAACCACACCAAGTTCAGAGAGGATTTTTTTTTTTTTTTTTTGCACCAGTTGATGCTGTCAGTGTGCTTGAGGCCACTGGGAATGACTGGCAAAACTGAAGCTGCTTCCAGTGCATTCCTGCCCAGAATAGATCCAACATACCCTGGTTGAAAGTGCACATCAGTGTTGGTGTGTTATTGTTAAAAGCCTAACAGTGTATGACAAAGAAGTGTGTGTGTGTGTGTGTGTGTGTGTGTGTGTGTAAGAGAGAGAGAGAGAGACGGGATGACATTGGTGGCTGTGACACTGTACCTCAGAGACCAGGCCGTTCAGTTGCTGTGAGAGCTGTCGCAGGCTCTCTGTGGAAGACAGCGGTCTGCAGGACAGCACAGACACACACGTAAACATTCCTACACCCACACTAACCATGTCACATCACAAGCAAATATATCGCTACACCACAAGGATATACAGGAGGAACAGTAGCACTGCTTGTTAAACTGAATTAATAAGAAATGCAGGCATATTATGGGATGATGCACAGTTGAACAAGCTGATTTCTCGAGTTGGACATTATGATATCTGCATGCACTTGCAAAATAAATCCATTATCTCCAAACTCTAAACATGTGGTAGCTAAAAAAAAAAAACCTCGGTACTGATATTCTCAAATTGCTTTTCCTTTAATGGAATCTATACCCAGTTCACATGCATAAATATGCAACCTCTGTTCCATGACTCCATAAAAGCATATAAGTACATCAGCGAGGAGTCAAACAACCCACCTATTCTCCTCTATTGAACTTTCATTGCCATTGGTGTCAGGGTAGTCCTGCATAAAGAGAGAGAGAGAGAGATTGAAAGTGGAAGAGGGAATAAATGAGCCAGACAGACAGAGAGAAAAGGGGGACAGCAAGCACATTTGACAAAAGGGAGTTTGTGTGATAGCAGAGCACATTAAAACATCAACAAAAAAAAAAAAGGGCAGTACTGAATCTGCTGTTTTCGTCGCAAAGATAAATTATTAAAAATGCTGCAAATGACAGCGGAATCCTCCGAGTCATCACACGAACGCGTATAAAGACGATTTGGTAAGAAGGCCAGACTGTGGTAGGAGTGACACAGACAAGATACGTTTTGAGGAAGGGCTGAAAGACTGAAACGACTTAAAGGGAGAGAGACACACACCTGCAGGTCAGCGTTGTGACCGACAGACTCAGGGTTAGTAGCAGTGTTAGCGCTAGCGGGGTTAGACACAGGCTCGCTGTTCGGCTCCTCCAGCAGCTGTGGAACTGAAGAACCCACAGCGTCCACGTCAGTGAAGGTCTGAGATGACACACACAAAAAGGCACACACTTGGTTTAGTGTCCACGAACAACAGCAGTTACTGTACACGCAACAGAAACACCACAATAATGCTGCAAACTTTGAACTTGCATGAATATATTGTGAATACTGTACTTATTAGGATTAGGTTGATGGTTTAGTTCTGCTAACTGTTCCATTTATATACCCTGATGACTGCAATTATTGCCTGTTGGCTAAGAGGAAATAAGCATATAATTAACAGTGGGAGGGACTTTGTTGCCATTTGTTTTTGTCTTAAATGTCTTATATAGCACGCTCATGCAATATCTGATGCTTGTGGTAATAGCTGTAGGTTGAAAGTAGCTTTGATGCGACTTCCTCAGTTTTGTTGCTAGCCATCACACGTTCTCTGAAATATTGCAAAATAAAAGAAGGCTGTGTAAATACAAGCTGCAATTTTAATGACTGACAATAAAACCCTTCTCTGTTAATTCAGCCAAACATACTGATGAGTACCTTAATGTGAGGACATTTGCAGTAATCTGCAATCTTAAAATAACTCTTTATCAAGTGCAAGAAAAGTAGCAATAAGAAAATAGTTGAAAAGTGAAAAACACTTCTTGTTTTCCCAGATACATGCCTGCAACTTAATAGCTATCAGCCATGCAAATACTAAGACTAACCATGCCAGCCATCTTCACTGAACAATGTTGGACAAATAACTCCTGAAGATCGCCAATAACTCTGGGATCAACTCTGATGATGTACACTTTATGAACCATTAATGCTCTCTCTTGGATTTAGAAAGAAAACAGCAGAATGGCAGGAATTTGCACTTTGCCTGCTTTCTGGTCTGTGTGACAGAAGTCTACTTGATGTAAGAGGGAGGTGGGGAAGCAGGGTGCAGTATTGCCACAAGGGGAACTGTTATCTACAGCAGAGGGGTGAAAAGAAAGAAAAAGCAGACGGGGACGGAAGAAGGGAAAAAGAGAATAGAAGCTCACCTGACAGTTGCCATAAGAAGGGAGGACTACTCCATTGCTTTGACTAAGTGCTTTCAGAATACTGTCAAACTATGGGAAGAAGAAACAAAGGCAGAGAAAGAGATGTGAAAGGGGAGCTTTAGAAAGTGACAGAGAGGTAAACAAACAGGTACTGAAAAGCAGCCACTACAAGGAGGTCAAGAAGTGAGTGAGAAACTGAGAAGTGTGCCCAGTCTGAGAGGTCAGTAGATGTTGGCAGGATTTCTCTAGAGCCTTTAGTTCCACAAATAATCAATAATCATGTTGTAAAATATTATAATAACAACTCAGTGGAAGTGCAGCATTTGTTCAAATGTCGCCGTGATGAGGTGGCATAATCTTTGAATACAATAAAGTCAATGGCAGTGAAGTAAATGTCATGTGGCTGTAAAAAGAGGAGGAACGATAGCAACAGAGAAGGACACAGAAAAGGTACACGAGCAGCCAATCAAGAAAGAGGGAGCATGCATACGGACAGACAGGTGAATATTTCTGTCTGGTAACTAGTGGATGTAATTCAGCGTCACTCTCTGGTTTATCTGTGAAGTGTATGAAACTACGCTGCACACTGGAGTGTCTGATAACAGCGGGCAGTAGTGGGACAGCTGTCTCATGAACGGGGCCAAACATGGGTCACATGTCAATCATCAGACCCACGTCATATGCTCAGTCTGAAGCTGTCTGAAAGTGTTAGATGTGTCCTCCAACTTTCGGTTTTGATTAAAGATCTTAAAATACAGGACACAGTGGGAGACGGTGCTTGATATTAACATGTTAAGAAGTGACAAGTAGCGAAAAAGCTAATTAAGTGTGTTGAAAAGCTCAAAGCATGTGATTCTGTCACGGACTTTTCCGAAATCATCAGCACAAACAATGAACCACTCGTCTCTACTGCATTATATATGGTTTCTAGCGCATTATAGACAAGTCTAAGTTCTAATTTTGACAACAACTGAGTAATGATTCACTGCTTCCATGATCAGAATTATATAATTATTATTAATCAGATATAAACATGCGGCTGATAAAGACTAATCCCTCTACTTCTGCCCACATTCTGTCTTTAAAGTCACAGCACCACACAGGACAAAACAAGCTGATGTTCACAGCAGAAAGATAGAAAGAGGAGACTACTGATGGCAACACTGAAAGCCTGTCATATCTACATACCAGTGTTTTTTGGTTGTAAATGCACTGTAATATAGTCTATAATGCAAACATTAACTAAAATGTTCTTTATAATAACAAAGCTGCTGCAGATTTGGGTTGATACTTCTTTCTTGTTTTCTGAGTGTTCGAAAACATATTTAAGAAAATACCTCAACTTATGCTCTATGTTAAGATGTGACAAAGGCCATTATTCTGGTGAAGGGGTATAACTACGTCTCTTGTCCGAAGACCTTCTCCTTTTCAGATAAACATTACTTTCATCTCCTGTCCAGTAGGTGTGAATGCTGCTACTGTGCTGGCATTATGTTCGTGTTTGAGAGCAAAGATCAAAGCATTTGCCAATACTATACTGGCTATATAATTTCACAGCTGGAGAAATAAACTGTGCTCAGCAGCCAAGCAGCCCATTACAAATCATCGCAAATGGAGAAAGCTATGAGAGGATTATCACTGTACATGTGAAACCTTTATCGAGTATATTAGCTAGGTACTGTGTGCACAATGTATATAAAAACAATGCATTTTGTGTTCCTTTTGTAGGCAGTCAACAGCATTTAAAATGCAAACAGGAAATTGTGCTGTGGGAATTAAAATGTCACTCACGTGGTCACACTTAGTGTACCGAGACATGACAAGAGCACACACTGAAAACAGACTGTTATTTGAGCACCAAGAGCAAATAAATGAAAAGCCTTTGACTGACTTACATTATCTGGAGAGTTTCTGTCTGGTGAAGGTGTGTCAAGCTGGCTCAGTCCCTTCACCTTTCTCTTCTTCTTGGCCCCTGCTCCTCCACCACCTCCTCCTCCTCCTCCACCTCCCCTTTCTCCGCCTACAGAAGAAGGGGAGCTCTTCTGCTGAAACTCCTTCAGCTGAGCAGCAAGAGACAAGGACATAAGAAATGTGTGAACGGGGCTGTAGCAATACATTCCTGAATGTCAGAAAGAATTAAAATGTATTTTGATACTCCTTACAGATCCAGTGGTGGACAGCTGTAGATATTGTCCAGAGTAAATTTTCTCTACCCCCCAGAGAGTCTTATCATCCTAAATGAATTAGGAAATGTGGATTTGGTCTAAGATGATGGAGCAGGATCACAGCCTCCACTCTCTGACAATACACTAGACAGCTAGTTAAAAAGAAAGCTGATTTCAATGGTAGATTAGAAGAAATAGCCATTGTATGCAAGGCTATTACTGCAACATTGCCTTGCAATTCTAAATCAGCCAGAATGAAGTTCATAACTTATAAGAAACTATGGTCATCCATGTGTAAAACACCCTCTGATCCTCTAATGCTTGTATGTTTGGGCATGGGGCCTGTGACAGCTGTCGTAGGGGACCAGAGAGAATCACAGAGGAACCAGTCGAGCTACCATTTCTAAAATACCAGGGTTGAATCGCAGCAAAATGTCAAGTGCCATCACCACGACCAATCTCGCACGAAAACTGTGAGGCAGCAAGGAATGCTGACGAGTCACATCCTGAAGCGAACATTTCCCAGCTGATAAGGCCATCTTTCTGACTAGCCGGACAACACACCTAGCCAAAGCACACAGCAGGACAGGAAAGAGGGGTGTCAGCTGTCAAAACACTCCCAGTTCGTTACATCTATCCAGCTAGCTGTGCTACGATGCTAGCTTGCTAGGCGCAGTGTTTATTTTATTTTAAAGCTGTTGGACCGTTTCTCAGATTACGGAAATTCTGCAGACAAGACACAAAGCTAGCCGGCAGCTCTGTTGCATTCTTTACATTCACACGTCGCCGACATTCATTAGCTACGGAGCGAGCGTGCTAATGTTAACTTGTCATAGCACGTTAGGCTTTACCAATAACTGTATTTAACATTAGCGAGGAAGACAAGTGAAACCGTTGGGCAAAGAGAATCAGCTAAGTTAATCGCACACAAACTAAACGGAGTTGGATGCTATAAATGCCACTAAGAACTATAAATAGTCTGCATAATCTGGAAAAGTTAATGCTATCAGTAAAGGCCCCAGAAGAGACAGCGGTCTCTCCTGCGCAAGGAAGCCGACATGGGAGCGAGAGAGGCGGGACGAGCGACAGCGCAGAGGTCGGACGACGTGTAATGACAACACCCCTGCTCCGTAAAGACATTTAGAACCAAACGACACAAAACATCAATAAAACAGACTCGCAGACTAGAATAGAGAGCAGGAATTTCCTTTGACATTTAATCGGGTCAGTTGTAAGATACTTTACCTTTTTCTTAGCTGCAGCGAGTTTTATTTGCCTACTCTGGTCGGCCATCCTGCTGCTCTGGTCAACGGACCGAACCACGTCATCAGTTTGGTGCCCATAGGTGTCTCCGCCGGTAGGGGGCGCAGGGCTGCAGCTGGGTCAGGATCAGGATCATAAGAACTGTCAGAAATCAGTTTGAGGCAAATTTTTTTATTTTATAAATGACATGTAAGGTGTCAACAAGACTATGGAGTAAAACCTATGTACCCCATTGTTACTGGATTGTCTTTTTCAGTAGCATAAAATGGCAAGTATGATATTATCTGTGTTCTTATACCCTTGATCATTTCTTCCACTTATGTAAACATATTCTAAATGATTAACTAACCAAAAGGAAAATTTGTCAAAACCTTGTTTTTTTTCACTTGCTTGTTGTAACATGTATACATGTGTTTATTTATTAACCATTCATATCTTGGCAGTCCGTCATGAAGTTGATGTGCAGTGGATGAAAAGAGAAACATCTTGGAATTAATATTTGTGGTATTTTCATTGCAGTTGCCTTTGCAATTACACATCATTGGAGAAAAGCAAAGCACCTGGGCCACAGGCCTATCCATGTGACCCTGAGAGGAACATACTAACTAAGAAGTACTGATAAGATCAGGTCCAAGATTCAAATTCAGTGCTGTGACATGACACTGACAGTAATAATACATATTAAACAATGGCTTTTACTGTTTTTAGAACACAGTGTGGAGGTATAATGTTGAGTTTTAAAATGGATTGAAATGCAGATCAAGAAAATATGCCATTTGTATTTAATAAAGTGATCATTTCAGTACAGAAGCCACAAATGTCAGCCAGTAACAGTTGTATTCCAACAGAAAACCAGTGGAAGTTTGCCTTGAAATAAGGAATAAAAACATGTGTCAAATATGAGATACAAATTTGTGTAAAATCTTAATCCTCATACATCTATGGCAAACAAAGAGGCACTTGCAAAAGGGCAGGGAATTAAAAACTGAGAAGAACCTGTTGTATTACAAATTATATGATTGACAATTAAGAACAATGCAGTATGCCTTGGTTTGTTCCTGCTGGGAATCAGGCATTCCTGAAAATGACTGGTTGTACTTCCTGTATCATTTAGCCAGCAGCATAGCTCCTCCTAGAGTTCATAATGATGTCCAACAGTGTCAAAGTCAAGGGCCCATGTCAAAAGTTCAGAAGTAGAAAAGGACACACATCTGAGAAAAGGGAAATGCAGGATTTCTAGATCTCCTTTGATCCACTGCCAGTCTGGGCTGGACCAATTCTTAACAAGGACAGTTTTTCTTTTATGAACAAAGGTTTCTATTAACCTGAAAGAAAACATAACAACAGAAGGCCGGCTGACAAAAGGCTATAAATACAAAAGGCAGTCAATGAGAAAGACGTCTCCAGGTAGAGTAACATCACGGGTGTGGCTTTCCTTAGAGGACACCTTTAATGATTTTCTAAAAAATTTCTTGCAGCCCACAAATGTCATGAAAAGATCAAACCCAATAACAGTTGATCATATGGTGTACAGCTAAATCATAGAAATGTTTAGGTTTAGCTATTTCCTCTGTGCTATAGATTTCCGTTGCTGTCCAAAAACTATTAAAAACACATCACTGCACTGGATGACAGCAAAATTATGGTCCCTGTAATATAGTTCCACAGAGTCGTAACCGGCAACTTAACTTCAGAAAGTAAATTGTGGAAAGTGAAAGTGTTGAAGTGTGCATTTTCCAGTTTCTCCGTCAACTTTACTTTCAAAAATCAGTGTCAACAGAAAATAATCTATCTAAATCCCATGTCTTCTTACTGTATGCTTAATTTTAATAATCTCAGTCAATTCATACTGAATAAGGTGTTTCGAAAATAGCTTTTCACTGATTTAGGCCTATCAGCGATGAAAAAATGTGTTCAATTTGTTACTCTTCAATAAAACTACATCTTAACTTTAGAAATCACTTCAACATAATTATTAGATATAAGTCAAATAAGACAAAATCTCTTCATGTGTCAAATATATAGACAAACTGGACTTACTTGTTATTTGTGACAGAAAAAAAAATATAGTTTTACTGATATTTTAGATTTTTCCTGTCATTTCTCGAGCTTTCCAGACAGAAATCCTTCCGCCTCTTTTTATATCAGAAATGTTCTATAAAGTGTGTGTGTCTTGAGTCAAAACGGGAAAAGGCAGACAAATTAAATTATATCAATTAAGTGATTTGGATTCTAAAAAAAATCTTGATAGAATCCAATATATTAAACTCAAATGCAGTTATTCTTACCCCATTAACAGATTTTGTTACTAAAATAGTATAGTTGTGACTCACAGTGTTGTTTTTCACCAGGGCTGACTCGCCAGATACTAGGAATAATAATGACTAGGCCTCTAGCTGCAACACAAGAGGACCCAGTGTGTTCCTAGAAAATACACAACATGGGCGAACACTACAAGTGAGACAAACACAAGTGAAACCTGATTCTATACATAATAAACGCAACTTTTAAGTATACCATTACACTCATGCTTAGGCTGGTGTATGTTTGCACATTTGAAAGGGATCATACAGATACAGTATGGATTTGGCAACCTGTTATCTAACCTTGACCTATTTAGGCTTCTGAGACTATTAACAGAAAGCTGTATCAGTGACTTTTCTCCTTTTGATCTATGTAACCTGCTTTATGTATAGCCCACTGTGTGTTTGATAATTTGAAATATCTGCAATCAATATGAGATCAATGAAGCAGCAAGTTGGATTGTGCTTATTTTTTAAGTTTGATGAATAAAGCCTGTATTTCAAGACAGTTGCTTTAGAAAAGTGTGTACATTCACTGATAAAGCATCCAGACAATCCAGATCATCTGATGTAACCTTCTGTTAGGATATTTAGTCACAATCATACACAGGGTTTGGACATTTGTTATTACTCATTCTAGTGACTCATCAAGATGCAAACACAGACCAAACACAATCGCGGCCCTTTAAACAACAATCAGTGTCAATCTAATACATGAAGAGCATTACTAAAAAAAGAAAAAAGAAAAAAAGTGCAGAACAAATCTCAAAATGTATGAAATGTGAAAGTGCACCCAACCCCGGGCCCATTCGAATGGCGTGTCTTTGCACCAACTCTGTTCCTGATTTCGCCCGACAGACAGCCAATCAGCGACCGGCACAGCAGACACGAGCGGTGACGTCGCCTCAATCCGATGTGTGCAAATCAGCGGCGGCCAGCGTGCTGGATGCGACCAATGAGCGCCTTCCAACGAACAGCCGCTCAGCCAATCGCGGGGCTCCACGACGGGAAAGAAGTGACGGCTTATATATGGAGAGAGCACGGTTCATTCAACATCATTTCACAGAGGCTAGAGTTCAGAATAGACAAAAGAGGAGACACAACTTGCAGCGAGAGGCTAGTACCAGTTGAAGCACCGCCAAGGCCGCTTTTTTTCACTGACAGAATCTTCATTAAGGTATGTACGAACGTTGGTATGAATATGATATTGCAGCGTCGTCATATGTTGCATTTTCCACAACGTCGAACGTTATTTTAAAACGGTGTAATTCTAATGAAGCTAACGTTTTAGCTAGCTCAAGTTTAACGTTACTCTAGCGATTTGAATGAAGTGAGAAGTCAGTGGTACTTTAATATAACATGCAAACATTGTGTTCTTTTCACTGCTCATTATGTCACGGTGTATTCCCTCGCATGTCTGCTACGCATGCTAACGTGGTGAGCTAGATACCGGCGGATGTAAAAAATAAAATCCTATTCATTTGTGCTAACAAGCGGAAGAGACACCCGGTTCACCCGTTTTCTTCTAGCAATCAAAAATGTGACATTTCTACGAAGGTTTTTTTTTTCGAGGCCGCGCTTCCGTCTGTCATGGGTCTGAAGCTCAGTACATGGCATCAAGCCTTCCCATTAGCTGCTAGCTACTTGGGAGGAAGAGCCCACGTCATGAACGCAAGGCCACGTTTTTACATGGTTTTTCTTTTTTTCCCTCGCAGATAATTTTCTCAAAGATTTGGCTACAGAAGAGGCAAAGATGAAGCTGCTGTGGGTTGTTCTGCTGGTGGTCGGCGCCGTGTCGGCCGATGACGATGACAGGAAGGAGAATGTGGGGACTGTGGTTGGAATCGACCTGGGCACTACCTACTCCTGGTAAGAAATAACCAGCAAACAATCAAGTTTGATTGTTTTAGAAAACAGTGCAATGATGTTACTTTTAATGCTGTTTATAATAGGGCTGTATTTTAAGTATTCTGCAATGTTTTCCTGCAGCGTTGGAGTGTTCAAGAATGGCCGTGTGGAGATCATTGCCAATGACCAGGGTAACCGCATCACCCCCTCATATGTGGCCTTCACCAGTGAGGGTGAGCGTCTGATTGGTGATGCTGCCAAGAATCAGCTGACCTCTAACCCTGAGAACACTGTCTTTGATGCCAAGAGACTGATTGGTCGCACTTGGGGCGACTCCTCTGTGCAGCAGGACATCAAGTACCTGCCCTTCAAGGTGAGCTTCTACTCTTAGAGGTTTTAAGTAACTGTTATAGATTATAGGGTACATAGATAATGTTGAAGTGACACACTTGGTGTACTAACATTAATTCACATTTTTCTTTAGGTCACTGAGAAGAAGAGCAAGCCCCATATCCAGGTTGACATTGGTGGCGGCCAGATGAAGACATTTGCTCCCGAGGAGATCTCTGCTATGGTGCTGACCAAGATGAAGGAGACTGCTGAGGCTTACCTGGGCAAGAAGGTACAAACAATGTCTAAGAATGTACATCAGAAATATACCAGTCCTATAAAAAAATAGCAGAGAATTTAATTTAGTTTTCTCTTTTCCCGAGGTCACACATGCTGTGGTCACTGTCCCTGCCTACTTCAATGATGCCCAGCGCCAGGCCACCAAGGATGCTGGAACTATCGCTGGTCTGAATGTTATGAGAATCATCAATGAGCCGTAAGTGTCCAACAAAAAACTTGAACACATCAAACATTTATGATTTGAAATTGTACAACATTTTCCTCCCTTCTTCTGTGATGACACATCCTGTTAATTTTATCCTTTAGAACTGCTGCTGCCATTGCTTATGGCCTGGACAAGAGGGATGGCGAGAAGAACATTCTGGTGTTCGATCTGGGTGGTGGCACCTTTGACGTCTCTCTCCTGACCATTGACAATGGTGTGTTTGAAGTGGTGGCCACCAACGGTGACACTCATCTGGGAGGTGAGGACTTTGACCAGCGTGTCATGGAGCACTTCATCAAGCTGTACAAGAAGAAGACTGGCAAAGATGTGCGCAAAGACAACCGTGCTGTGCAGAAGCTGCGTCGTGAGGTTGAGAAGGCAAAGAGGGCACTGTCTGCCCAGCACCAGGCCCGCATTGAGATCGAGTCCTTCTTTGAGGGAGAAGACTTCTCTGAGACCCTGACCCGTGCCAAGTTTGAAGAGCTGAACATGGTATGTTATCAGTTT